TTCTTAGAAAGAGAGCTCTATATTCCACCTTCGTTGAAGCGTGTTCGGTCGATTTGATGCAGAAGAATCAGTTAGTCAAGAAAACATGGAGTCAATACTCATAGTACCCGTTTACTTGAAAGTCTCAAGGTCTGTGTCTGTGATGGTCGTCATGATCATTTGTCTTCCAAAGATGTTAATTGGAAAGGGACGCAGCGTTATCCCAAGAAGCTTTGCGAGCTAATCCTTAAAGGGTTTTAAGCTGAATTAACCGCATAAGAGTCACGCATTTTTCGAGTCCAGAATGGCACGTTTTTGCAGAAACTCGTAAGATGAGACTTCATATCTTAGATCAGGCGTGTGATAAGTGCCAGCTTCAGCTTGATGTTTCGCTCATACCGTCCTGAGGTATGATGATGGCCCTGGATGTGGGAACAATGCTTGCTGCGCTTAGCTTGGAAGCCGCGGCCGCTATGGTCTTTTGCAGCGGGAGTCATTTGTGGCAGCTTGCTGACCTGGTGCTGTTTGAGTCGGCGTCGTGAGCATGCTGATTTTCAGAGTCGTTTGAAGAAGGAACCTTCTATCACGGTGGGTGATATACCATTGCCCAGGTTTTTGGGGCAGTGTGAGAAGGTCTAGTTCCCCGGAGCAAGGTTCGCTTGAATCCGTGTTGCTCAGGCATGGTTGACTTGTGTTCGAAATGACTGTCCTCACTGAAGAAGAATAAGAAGGTTTAATAGCAGCCTGTTGTTCCGAGCGAAATGTCCAAGAGGGGGTGAGAAATCCATTGGTCGGATGGCCACCTCGCTCGTGCTTGTTGCTTTCTTTGGCTTTGTTTGTTTTGTGTTGTTTGGTTTGTGTTCTTAATGGGACAGAACCGGACTTTAACACTGTAGTTTGTTTTTTGAAGTCTTGACAGGGTTCTTTAGCCTTTTCGAGTGTTTAGAAGCTTTTTGTAAAGAGTTGCGTGTGTGTAGTTTACATATGTACAATCTTTGGAACGGCGGTGACTTTTGGCTCAAGTGTGAGTAAAAGGGCGCCAGGGAGTGCGCTGCGTTAGCTTGAGTTGTTGTAGTCTTGAAGAGTTTCGAGAGTGTGAGAACGAGTTTTGGAGTGTACCGGACTCATCTAGAGAGCCTGCTGTGAGATTAAAGATTCAGGGGAAGTGTAGAGAAGTTGGAGAAGAAGAGTAGGATGACGAATAAGATGAATTAGAGAAGAAGTGTACAAATAGACCTGAATGCTTGTGGCGTGATGGAGAATTGCCAAAATGCTTGTGAGAATGGTAGCGTCAGAGGGCTTGCAACCAATGGTTACAGAGGCATTTTTCAAAGAAGACGACAATATCCAGTGTGGGTTGGGAGATATCAGACTAGAGGAACTGAAGGAATCCAATCACATTTGCAAATTTTTGATTGCAGTGATCATCATGATCAGCATCATTGGTTTTGTGGCAGTGATCTTTGCATTAAAAAAGTTCTACAAGCATGTTGAAAAGCGTTGTGATGAAGGATGCTATCATGTGGAGAAGCGCTATTGGGAATCTTGGGAACATACCGACTACAGGACAGACAACGCAGAATTCCAAATCACAAAACCTGGTAACCTGGTAGTGACATCAGAGAGATTGATAACTATGAGGAGATGCTCGATATGCCACACAACTGCGCCAGGAGAATTCATTGCGAATTGATTCTCAGTGGAGGCTCTACTGAACATGAAACACCAAACATTCCAACAATCATCGCTTATGATGTGCTACAAGAGTTGAATGCAGGAAACTTTTTGGCCAGAAGAAGCTTGGAAGATATGCAAGCATCAGAAGGACAATATTGGGGACACAGAGTAATGTTGAAAGCAGCTACAGATGGAGCAACACCATCAGAAGGAAACAGACAAATATCAATCAGAGAACAATACATCACAGAACAGGCAAGCCAAATGTGTGGTCGAGTTGAAGCAAAGCTTGGTCAATTCAATGAAAACCATTGGAACTTAATGAGCAGAGGACACCAGGAGGCAGCAGCTATGGTAGAGAAAGAAATGGAGATGTATCAATAATTGTTAGAATGTGCAGTCATGAGGAAAAAATTTCCAGATAGATTACACACAGAAATACTGCCAATTTGTGGGAACCCAGTTCTTAGAGACATGCAAAAATTTGCAAGAGAGAAACAATTGAATGGAAAAAGTGGACAATGGTGGCAAAATGAGCTCAAGCAAACATTTTAGAGTTCACATCGGCAAGAAGGACTGCGAACCATGTTCCATAAAGATCAGACCTCATGTATATAGGAATACAAGCATCATGAAGAATGCATGACTATACTGCACAGCCTTTTTTACAGTCAAGGAAACGTGCGTAATTTTGTGTGCAGTGTTGCGACCCAAACTTTGCTTGAAAGGGCTTTGAACGTTTTTATTCAACATTATGGCGTGTTGAAATAACGTGCAACTTTGAGGATTCAGCTGTGCAATTTTTGCACTGTACCACCTATATTTTTCGTTGTGACTCAAAGTGCTACGACTGTTTGTTTTTGGCTGTGTTAGGTAGAGACTAAAAGGTTGGGTCAGCGACTACAGGCCTGCGACTAGGATCAATGATAAAAAAATCAAAGACCTCTAAAAAACTGCAGATCAGTGACCAGTGGATCTGGATCAAGGACCCGTCGGATGTGCGATTGTGTTCGAAACATGTATGACTACTGTTTCAGTGCGTCCGGATCACCAGTTTGCATGAGTGACGACCGTCAGATCAGCGGCTGAAGCAAATCCGAGATAAAGGCTAAAAGATTCCATGTGAGCACCTTGGACTAGCGGTTTTGCATTCGACGCTACTGAGAAAAGATCCGCAACCGCTGGATTAGTGAGAAGTTGCAATTGAAGACCAAAAACCAAACGGAAGAATCAACAACGGTATACCCGAGTGGCCGGCTAAAGTGACTTTATTTAGGTGGGTTGGAAGGCGGGGCGTGGCCCCAAAGAGCTGCGCAACGTGCGAAGCTGGCGAAGCGTGACGCGGCGGAGAGAGTCCGGACCTCGGGCTGTGGAGCGGGTGTCCCGCGGTGAGCTGGGCCCGGGGCGTCGGAGGGTCGAGGTCGAGGCACTTTGAGAAAAAGTGATGTTCGGAGTGAGTCAAAGGTTGGTACCCGCAAAAAGGACCTTAGTGGGAAAAGAAAGGTCACCAGGATCGTCCAAGATTATTCCATGTTTTTACGATCAAAGGGTCCACGTTGTGACCTGTTCTTGAGTTTGCCTTACATTTCCACGCTTGTCTTTCACCTCTACTCTTCGCCTCACGTGAGGTTGTGGATCCGAATCCCTCCATGGAGCCACAGGCCGTTGGATCTGGACGAATTGATTTGATGGTGATGCAGAACGGTCTTCGGTTGAAAACAGGGACCGTTTTCTCGAACCGCAGAGGTGCGACGACACGTGTTTTAAGGCTCGAAGGGTCTCCGATGCTTCCTTCCCTGGAGAGGCCTTTGATCAGGACGGTGGACGGTGGCAGGTGAAACGAACAGATGCACGATAGACGATGGACGGTGGGAAATAATAGGCTCGGCAATGCAGGAAGACCCTTTTTTCCGTAGTCCCGAAGGATCAAGAGACGGTCAGACTGCCGAAAGACATGGCGGCTGACTCACGGTGCCACGGTCCAAAGACCAGAATTCCCTTTTTTTTCCAGAGGAATGAGCAAACAGACCGCTTCTGGCTGCTGGTGGTAGATTCTTGCTACTAGTAGTAATGCCAGGAGCTACGAGTAGCTTCTTGTTCCTAGCTGTAACGGCCTCCAACCTACTTGCGATGGCCTCCACCTAGTAGCTTCTAGTTTTTTTTGTGAGCCAAAAAGCAGCTACGGCTACAGCCTAGCCTTATGGTTTTTTATGCTTCCAATCTGATGAGACTTCAGCTCGTCAGGTTCCTCACACCTTCGGCCGTCAGGTTCTTCACACATATTGTCGGTCACCCCTCATCTACCTTCAAAGTGTATTTCTTTGTCGGTTTCCACCATTCTGGTGCAGCCGGTCGGACAGCTTTACCTTGGGGTGATCATCAGACCGTGACCAACCATGTCAGTCGGTGTATCTTACATCCTGCATGGAGTATGTGAGCCAGTGAGGACAGACATCAGGTCGACGTGTGAGTCGGTTCACCTGATTTTGGGCAGCCAAATCCGTGGCGGGACAGGTTACACAGGCCCTTTGACTTCGCGAACGGGGGGCCCAGCTTCCCCCGGGGCGTGCGGGGGGGGGGGGGGGGGGGGGGCGTTGGGGTGTTTGCTCCCCACCGAGCATGAAGTGGATGGGCGACACCGTGCTCTGGACGGCTGGAGGGGAAGACCGTTTTGTTTGCTCGTTGCGTTTTGCTGATATCCACATATATATATACTTAGCAGTTGTTGTGTTCTCAAACTCCAAGAAGGCTTCACTTTAAGAAGGCTAAGACTCCAAGAGGTGTGAAGAGCCCGTTTCGCCTGCGCTCTGTCCCGTCACGATCGGATCCTTTGATTCGTTTCATGTCGTAAGATCCCAACGTCGCAAGAGGAAGAGGATTTCAACGTCGTTCCCATTCGGCTCCTGCATCGCGCGCTCCTCAGGTGCGTGTTGCTTCGGGCCTCACGAAGCTGGCGATGAGAAGCTGGTGCGCTCCCCAAAAGGGGTCCTTTTTTGGTGCCGCGTGCGGAAGTGGGGTGCGCTTGAGGGTGTTTTTTCAGCCCCAAAAAGCCAGATAAACAGAAGTGGAAGTATACCCAAGTCTGAGTCTTCAGGTTTGACACCAAAAGCCCACAGGAAAGAAACAAACACATTTTGTTGCATTTTTGGGTGCGCCGTGTCCGTGGCTCTGAGGTCAATCTGCCAGAGTTTCAATTCTTAAGGCAAAAAAGTTGCTGTTTGACACGAAGAGGTTGTGGTCCAAGTTTTGAAAAAACGCCGCCTGTCACGAAAAGAGTTTGCGGCGTCCAAGTTCGAAGACTTTGAAACCACAATCCGCCTACTGTATCACGAAAAACGAACAATCCGACAACTAGCAGCCAGTTTGCCCGTTTTGGCATGGGACACTTCCTGAAGTGGGCTCGATCCGGCCTCGCTGGGATTGCTCACATGGTCTCTTTTCGGAACCCCAGCGGTCCGAGCAATGCTGACAAGGGCAGCTGCGAATGCGTCTTTTGTCAGGAAGCATTCACATCCAGGAACAGCTTGTTCAAGCATTTGCGCCTGGAGCATCCATCGGTCCACAACCGGACCTGCGACAGATGCAAGGCTTTTCCTTTGCATGGTACCTGCTACGAACGCAAAGAACCAAGGGCTGTGCTGTGTAGCAAGTGCTATGAGCAGTGTGGAGAGCAGGCTGATCCAGATGTTTGTTCCCAGACTTTCTCAAGACATGATCGTCCGCCGCACATGCAGGACATTCAAGCTCAGCCAACAAGAGAGCGTAAAGTGAAGGAATTAGCCCCAGATCTGCTTGTCCCCAGAGCACCTTTGCAGTTTGGCAGCTCCAAGCTGCCCAAGTCTCTTGCAGATGCCTTTAACAAGTTTGCATCTGCTGAAAGACCTTTGTTCCGCATCCCAAGTAAGATCCTTCTCCGCGAGGTTCCCCGCGAGGATCTCGAGATGGCGTGGAGAAATGATTTGCTGCGCGGCATGCCCATAGGCCTGAAATCCACCTTTGCCCACGAAGACAAAGACCAATGGCTACATTTGGCAATGAAAGACACAGACAGAGATGTTGCATTGTCACCTTTGGAACCTGAAATGACTTCAGAACTGCTGCTTGCGATCCTTCGGTTTCAAACATTTCGGACGAAAATCAGCTGTTACCACGTCAGGCTCACGGCAAAGTCCACCTGGAATTGTGGAAACCGAGTTGTGGACTGGCAAGCTTGTGCTGAGGAAACACCTGGTGTTAGGATCCACCGGGAGAGGGGGGCACGTGGCTACAAGAGTGCTTCAATTGCGCTTCAGCGCGCAAGGTCTGTGAAGCCGCTTGACTTCGAAGGATTTGCCTTCTCCTTCCTAGAACGGGTGGATGGTGTGGAGTTTTACTCCACTCCAAGTTTGGCGGAATCGATGTTTCACTATGGCCAGAATCCGGAGCATGCCACGGTGCCGCTGGACGTCTGCTACGACTTGGTGTGGCGAGCTCGTCAATCTGGGTTCGCCCAACCCTCTAAGCGCCGCACTTTGATCGTAAAGCTCGACAAGCATGGTGTGCAAGCGGCCAACCAGCATGGTGTGCAGGATGAACGTGATGTGGTGCTTGCTTCGAAACCCAAGTCCTCGAGTGCTTGGAGGAATTCCTGTGAAGGTGTAGAGGATGAGATGGAATTTGGTCGCTTTTGTGTTCAACGACTTCTTCTCAGTGAGGCTGGGCAGAGCGTCTTTTTCCCAAACAGTTTATTGTTGGGGTTCTCTCTTCCGAAAAAGGGAATTGGCCACAGCCAACTGTTTGGCGTCACCTGCCAAACATCAAACATCATAGTCTGTGCCGGTATCATCTTTGTGTTCTCATTCTTCAAACCTTTGCAGACTTCCCACGCCACTTTGATTCTGTGTGGGTCATGGCGTTCCGCAACATTCTCAATCTTAGCCTAAACGCACTGCGCTTCTCAGTCCAGTGAGACTGTGCTCTGAGGTTCTTCCAACTCGGGGAATGAAACAATCTGCCAGCTGCCAGCAGAAATATGGTGGATCCTTTGCCAGAGAGCTTTGCACTCATCATGAAAGGACCCATTTGCTACCATTCGCGCTAGCGAGCTGTAGTTGAGTGGCATCTTTTTTGGGGTGTGTTGTGGGATTGCTTCGCGCTGATTGGGAGGCAACATGTTCGACCTGCGTAAAAAAGGCTCCTTAGTTCGACCCGGCTTGTCAACAACGTGACTGTCGAAACCCGAAACCTCGAACAATGGACATTCGTTTGACCGGCGGCCGAAGGAGACAGTGTCACTATGGTGAAGATTGCAAGTTCATCCATCGGCGCATTGAACTGCTTCTGGACATTTCAACGGTTGAAAGGAGCCTTGTGCCTGTACTTCCTAAAATAAGTAAAACAGATATGGCCAATGTGCGTTATATCTTTAAAACAAGCAACCCATTCTTGTCTTGTGGAAAAGAACACCGTTGACTTTAGCACAAGAGTGTTAACCGTCACGAAGTGAGCTGGACAATTGGCTGAGGGCAAGAGAAGCTTTGTGAGAAGTTGAGTGATGAGAATTGCAACATCAGAGATTTAGAGCTTCGTGAAATCTTCTGGGAAGCAATGAAGAAGGGCGAGTTGCGGATCTCTTTGAACATGCTGTTGGACAGGCTGGGGAGGCTTTTGTTTTTAGGGGATAGTTCGATACCCTCCCAAGAGTGGCGTCGAAACTGGTTGGACAGCCTTAGTAGAGAAAGACCTTCATCTTTCAAACATCTGAGACCGCTTTCCATGTTTGTTTGAGAAAGGGTGGTGAGATTTGATGCTGTGGGTAAAAGCTTTCCAGTGCAAACTTTTCAATTTGTAGCTCTACATGATATAAACTCCTGCCATAGACATTGCCTTATTGGTCTCTTTGACTTTTCTGCCAAATTCGCGTGAGGTGGTCGGCAAAGAATGGAACCAGTGAAGAAGTTCTTGTGGAAAATCTCAAGGGGGAACTAAAGGATGGGAACCTGACAATTTTGGTCGTGGCAGCTTCTGCCCATTTGCAACGCGAGTGGCATGAACGAGCTATGAAAGATTTGAAGTCTGCGATTAATGTGCCGGAAGCTCGCGTCTTTCTTTCTCCCGTGTTGACCAAGCCACCATTGCAACTTTTGGATTGCTTGGATGAGTACTTCAAGAAAGAGCTGCTGGGTTGCAAACAAGTTTTGCAGATTGAAACGAATACCTGAGTGCCGGGTACAAGTTTAAGCCATGGGTCCCGGTAACTTCTCTACTTCTCGTGCTGGGCAGATATCCCTTCAGTCTGGGGTAGATAACATTGCCCGCAACTCATCTACTGTTCCCATGATGTACTCCCTTTTCTTTTCTGCAGAGTGCAAGTATCTCTTGTCTACGCTTGGATGATGAGAGATGCACTTTCGCAAGCAATCGCCCGCATGAAGACGAAGGGGTCATCACCCATGACCTCACGGTGATGAAGTCGACGATGACCTTGGCCAGTCCGTAACAGTGAGCAAATGACCGCTTTTGATAGTTGCTTTTTTTTTTTACCTTATAACCATCATCCACTGGAATCCTTGGGGCATAAGACGCATGAGCCTGAAATTTGGCTGAGGCTTTTGGTGCTGAAAGTGGTGTATTTGAAACGCCTTTGCAAGTCCTGCTTTGCCCTGCTCATTCCCAACAGCAGTTGGGTGGGGCTTGCCAAGAGATCAGGCTTCAGCTTTCAAGAGGAAGGGCAGAAGAAAGGTCGTTGGATTCTGAGGAAATGCAAGGGAACGCGTCGTTGTGAATGGACACCGCAGAGCGACACCGCTGAGCGCAAAGCCGATTTGATCCGTTTCATGCGGGAGGGCTTGGAGGATTGGCCCTCCGTTGGAGTGTTTCTGGAATCTGCGCGGATTTTTGGACCTCCGTCCTTGCAGCCCTCACCGGCCAGACGATCGCGTTTGGCGGCCCTGTACTGCATCTTGGAGGAGATCACAGGGCTGGAGAGTCAGGTTGACAGCGATGAAGAGGAGGAGGACGAGATGATGCGGTGCGCTGATTTGGACGAGAAGTTTCTGGACGGAGAAGGTCTTTCGACCAACACCAGGTCGACCATGTTCTCTGAGATGGACTGGGGTTTGTTCCCACCGCCGATGTGCATGGGCCGTCAGAGGACCTGGCCTGCACCCCGCAGTGCTATGCAAATGGTCCATTTGCTGTCACAGGAGTGTGACAGCGAAAAGAGGGCGAAAAGTGTGGTGCGTGGGAAACGTGTGCTGAACCGCACGCGTGCATACGCACGGCTTGGCACGATGCTGAACAAGTTGAGGTACGAAGAAGGCATCTTGGTTGATGGAGAGTGGATCACAGAAGCTTCACGTGCTGCTGCTTTGCTAGACTCTGCCGGATACGATGGGGATGTTATCGATGAATGGGTTGGAGACAGCAACATCTCTTCCGATTTGCTGATGGCTATGATTGCGGCGAAGTGGCGAAGGTTTAATGGAGAAAGGCCAGCAATGCCATTGTCGAAACAATCGTTTGATTGAAATCCCTTTGTTCATGTTTGTCCCGTGTTTGGTTTGTTGCAGGAATAGTGGAGCTGCTCCAGATGCACAGGACTGTTCCACAAAGCCCTGGAGGGAAGCTGCCTTTTTTGGGGGGGTGGAGGTTTCGAATCCTGTCGGTGAGTGGAAGGGCTTCAGGGATGATTAGGTTTGAATCACCATCTCCCTGTTCCCCAGTACGAGGTCACAGTCATAGGTGGCCTTCAACTATTGGTTGCTTGATGAACAGAGGGGATACCCTCAAGTGAACAAGGAATAGGGAAATGCACATGGTCATGCCAGGAGGTCTTGGGTGGACTGCTGCTGGCGCAAGCGATGAGTCATGGGCAAGGGAGGTCGCATCGAATTCGCAAGCGCCTTGCTTTCTCAAATGGGCCGATATCCGAGTTCCAAAAATTTTGGTTTGATATTGGATGAAATGCAGAAAGAACCTTGCAGCCCGGATATATTGGGTGTCGAAGGTTGCTTTGGCTGTTTCGAACCTTTGACCGGGCGGAGGCCGATTGACCCGCCCAAGGCCGATTGTGGGAATGCTTTGGAGGCATGAACGCTTGCGAGGCAAGCTGCCGTTGGCCTCTCGTGGAGGACAGGGTTCACCGGCTGGTCTCTTGTCGCAACTGTCAGGTGTCCAAATTTGGCTCATGGCAGGTACCAAACGAAGCCAACCTAACAGCGATGGCCTCCAACCTAGATGTGTTTCCTGAGGTTAGAGCAGATCAACTAGTCCCAGGTCAGGCGTGTAACACACCCAAGCATCAAACGGGTCAAGTCTTGCGCACTTGCCCCTGCGCAACCGCTGCGTAACTGCACAACTGCTCCGGAAGTGGTCAGGAAGTGTGGGAATGGGCATGGACACTTGTCGCTCAGATCATGACATTTTTCTGCAGATCAAGCATGGAGACGAGGACATGGTTCAGACTGTGTACGAGGTCTTGCTGGATCTGCAGAGACAGTCCACTGGTCATGAGGAGCGCTTGAAGCGCGCGAAGGTCGTACGGAAGGACTTCGCCGTGGAGATCCAGGACTTCTACCGTGGTAGGGACTTTGATCTCGTCCCCTACACAGTGAAGCCAGAGCTCCAGGAGTGTCAGTGGGACATCGATCGGAAGGTTTGGCAGAGGATTTTGCACCGGGATCTGGCGCCGAAGTTGCAGGAGCTGTCCCAGGAGCATCCGGATGGCTTTTCGATGACGCGACTGCTGAAGATCTACAATGAATCGTTGCCACCTCTTCGTAGGTCCGCCGAGAGGCAAAAGGCTCCGCTCATCTCCTTGCACCTTCCCTTGTTGGTTCTTGGAGCTCGCGATCAACAAAAGTTTGACTCCTGTCATGATCCTCAGAGCTACTTTCTGGAATCTTTGAAGTTTATCAGAGAGCGTTGGTCTTGTGAAGTGCTGGAGACGGTGACCTTGCAGGAGATCGGGGCAGAAGTTCACTTGCAACGGATGACCAAGAAGTATCGAGAGGCAGGGATGGAGGAGGAATTCGCCCGACGTCTGGATGAGCATCTCGTGATCTTGACCAAGCTATGCGAGGAGGAAGGACGTGACAAGGCGGCTGCTGAGAGGATCATCCAAGGAGTTCGAGGGCTGTTTGACAGCCAGAACCTGTTGGCGCCAGAGCCAGCCTACAGATCCAGGCTGTGAACAGAGGCTTTCTCAAAGCTCGTTGGGGTGACGATCAGGGGCGCATGAACTTGGGAGAAAAGCTCCGCCGGGGCGCCTCCGTTGCGCCGGGGCCCGGTCCGACGCGCCGTTCGGCGCGACGAACGCGGCGCCAGGTGAACCACGGCCGAAAGCGGCGGTCCCGTGGGACGGCCGAAAGCGGCCAAGGTGGCTGCCGGAGGGGTTCCACCTCGGGTCGGTGAGTGGAAGGAGAAGAACCTGCGGACGTAGAACCTGGGGAGATTTTTGGGATCTCTCGACGTTCGTTTGACTCGGTTTGGTCTACGTTTGATGTCGACAGAGTGCACCCGATGTTGATGGATCAGTTTTTCACTCTTCCCCACCAGTCAATGGCAAGCCCTTGACTTAGACTAGGCTCATTAGATATTCTTCAAAAATCTTCAAAAGGTCTCGGACCTTTTTGAGTTGCTTTGGGAATCGCTTTGTTTTGCTGAGGGATTTCGTGCAGGGAGTTTGTAGGGAGTTCTGTTGCTTGCTTTCATCCTTTGTTCTTTCCCTCCTGAAACCAACGAAGGTGAGTTTTTGGCTCTATGAAGCCCTTCTCGAAGGGGGGGAGTTGGGGCGAAGGTATTTCCCAAAGGAACAAAGAACGGACGAATCTTCGCGTTCCAATCCCCAGAATCGAATCCACCTCCGGCTGGAGCGGCTGCGAAGCAGTGGAGCAGCGAATGGTCGGTGTTTTTGATTTTGTAACGAGCGTTCAAGGTGAAAGACCCTTTCTTATTTTTCTACAGGTGGTTTCTTTCACTTGCAACTTTTTCTGAATTTGAAGACTTGGGATATGATAAAGAGGTGAATGGACCCGGTTGGTACTTTTGTTGCAACAAGCATTCCAACGGGATGATGGCCCCAGGAAGACCCTTTTTGGTCCTGGTCCCAATGTGGCTTCTTCCAATAGAGGCAACTCTTGCTTTGAAGGCAACATCACCATTGCACCCCTGTGACCCGTTTCCAGACCCCCCCCGGCAGGTCTCGAGTTGGAGCCCCTTTTGGGGCCAGGCGTGGGATGAAGCGGATGGGGGAGACCGGGCCGATGCCATCTGCCAAGGTCAAACAATCCGCACGTTTGGGTCGTCATTTTTTCAAGGTTGTACAGACTGTATCCAATAATTTATTGATGGATGATTCCATTTCTTTGTGTTTCTAAAGCTGGCGCTGGAAGGTTTTGGGGGACTACGGTCAATATGAGCACGTTCTGAGATACCCTTGGTCGCCCTTTCGACCATAGATTACAGATTGGGGTACAAGAAGGTACTTGGTACTTGAAACGTTTTTGTGAAAGAACATTCATTATCCGTGAAAGATGCACGACGACCTCGGTAAATCTCGAATCATCGGTAGATGAGAGAAGTAGATGCATCGGCTGCATCGGCCCTGAGGTAAGTGATATCAGATCAGACTGAGGTAAGTGACTGAGGACAGTTTCAACTCGTGTGCTGCCATGCTGTGCTGGCTACAGCTGCTCATGTGCAGTCCCATCCAGGTGCCTGAAATCGGGTCACCTCACCTGCGACTGATGAGTAAAGGCGACACTTTTCCAAGGCAAGGACAGTTTCCTTCAAGCATGACCCAAGTCCTACAAATATGGGACCTAGTGCTTCTGCATACAGCTTTATACACTCCAAAAGAACACCATTTAGGCCATGTTCTTTTGTACCTTTCAATGACCAAGTCTCCTGAACAACCATCAAACATCCACCATTCTTCTTTGTCTTTGGCCTATTCGCATCCTCTACACCCCTTGAAAAGAACCTCTCAAACTAGACGACGAGTGGCCCGAAAGCATGTTTCATCACGTAGGAAGTCAGAGTGCGAGTTATTTGTTAAGTGTGCAGTGTGAAGTGTTAAGTCGAGTGAGTTGAGGTAGTGTGTGGGTTTCTGTGTGTGTATCTATGTCCGTGTGTATATGAGTCTGCGTATGTGTGTGTGTTCGTGTAAGTTGAGGCAGTGCGTGGGTGTCTGTGTGCGATGCGGCTTCCCAAACCCCCCACCGGCGGCCAAGCGGTGACAGCCCAGCTCATCGTCATGAGCATTTGAGCTGCTGGTAAGGGGAGAAGCTGCGTGCACGGCTGCAGGGAATCTCACAAGTTCTTGACCTCTCGCAAGTCACCTCCGCCTACTGGAGTTCTACTACCACGTCGGCAGTTCTCATCTTCCCGCTCCCCAGATACTCCGCGTACTCAAGTTGTACTACCAAGCCAGCTCTCATCTTCTAGCTCCCCACATACTCCGCCTACTACAGTTGTACTACAAAGTCGCCAGTTCTCATCTTCCAGCTCCCCAGATACTCCGCGTACTACAGTTGCACTTACTAAAGTTATACTACAAAGTCGCCAGTTCTCAGCTTCCAGCTCCACAGATACTCCGCGTACTAAAGTTGTGCTACAAAGTCGCTACTTCTCAGCTTCCAGCTCCACAGATTGCTCCGCGTACTAAAGTTGTACTACAAAGTCGCCAGTTCTCAGCTTCCAGCTCCCCAGCTACTCCGCGTACTACAATTGTACTACAAAGTCGCCAGTTCTCATGTTATACTACACAGTCGCCACTTCTCAGCTTCCAGCTCCTCAGATTGCTCCGCGTACTCAAGTTGTACTACAAAGTCGCCAGTTCTCATCTTCCAGCTCCCCAGCTACTCCGCGTACTACACTTGTACTACAAAGTCGCCAGTTCTCATCTTCCACCTCCCCAACTAGTCCGCGTACTGAAGTTGTACTACAAAGTCACCAGTTCTCATCTTCCACCTCGCCAGACACTCCGCGTACTAAAGTTGTACTACCAGGTCGCCAGTCCTCATCTTCCCACTCCCCAGCTACTCCACGCACTAACGTTGTACTACCAAGTCGCCAGTTCTCATCTTCCAGCTCCCCAGCTACTCCGCGGACTCCAATTGTACTACAAAGTCGCCAGTTCTCATCTTCCAGCTCCCCAACTAGTCCGCGTACTGAAGTTGTACTACAAAGTCACCAGTTCTCATCTTCCACCTCGCCAGATACTCCGCGTACTAAAGTTGTACTACCAAGTCGCCACTCCTCATCTTCCCACTCCCCAGCTACTCCGCGCGCTAACGTTGTACTACCAAGTCACCAGTTCTCATCTTCCAGCTCCCCAGCTACTCCGCGTACTAAAGTTGTACTACGAAGCCAGATACTCCGCGTGCTAAAGTTGTACTACAAAGTCGCCACTCCTCATCTTCCCACTCCCCAGCTACTCCGCGCACTAACGTTGTACTACCAAGTCGCCAGTTCTCATCTTCCAGCTCCCCAGCTACTCCGCGTACTAAAGTTGTACTACGAAGTCGCCAGTTTTCTCAGCTTCCTGCTCCACAGATTGCTCCGCGTACTAGAGTGGTACTAGAAATGCACAATCTCCGCAGAGCTTTGCGCGCGCGCAGATTAAATCGCACTCTCGCCTGCATCTCGCGCAACTCGACACGCACGATCTCCGCAGAGGGTTGCGCGCGCACCGCGCATATCGCGCTCTCGCCTGCATTTGGCGCACTCGACACGCACGATCTCCGCAGAGGGTTGCGCACGCAGCCGGCAAATCGCACTCTCGCCTGCATTTCGCGCACTCGAAACGCACGATCTCCGCAGAGGGTTGCGCGCGCACCGGACAAATCGCACTCTCGCCTGCATTTCGCGCACTCGACACGCGCGATCTCCGCAGAGGGTTGCGCGCGCACCGGGCGAATCGCGCTCTCGCCTGCATTTCGCGCACTCGACACGCACGATCTCCGCAGAGGGTTGCATTTTCGGTTGACGCTGTTCGTCCCACCCTCCGCCTTTAAGAGAGAAAATGTTTTTCATTAGGGGGAAATGTTTTTCATTAGGACATCTCCCGTGCTAGTTTTCCATGCTAGTTTTCCATGTTCACTCATCACACTTGCATACTCATTGCATGCTTGCATACTCATTGCATGCTTGCATGCTCATCATTAGACTTGCATACTTTGCACTTGGATGCTTTCGCTCTTCCAGTGTGTGTGTGTGTGTGTTTGTGTGTGTTTAAGTGTAAGTGTCGAAGTGTAATTGTCGAAGTGTCAGTGTTCAAGGGATTTTCCGGAAAAACCCTTCGCAATGCTTTCGGGAAAAACCTGTGTACCCTTAGCTTTCTTTCTTCGCATCCAAACCGGCACCCGAGACACCGAGCTGGGCCCGACAATGGAGTGGCCGAGCCACGAGCCGGGCCTCTGGCGGCCCCGCCTGGGCCGCCCGATGTCCGCGCCCTCCCTGGGCCGCGCGGCGCGAGAGGAGCCGCCCGGCCGCGCCGCGGCCGAGGAGCGAAGCACGCGGAGCACACGGAGCACCGGAGCAATGCTGAGGACGCCATGGTGGTTGGGTGAGAAGATTTTCGATGTTCTGTGTTTTTTCATGGTCCGACTTGATGGATGTAGGAGGGTCTAGGGGGCAGGTTTGGTGCAAAGAAGAAGCATCCGATCTCCAGGCGGCTGGAACCACCCCCGTCTTCGACCCGTCGGACGGTCCACCGGTCGAGCGCCGTTCGGTCCAGGAAAGGCCCGTTCGCCGAGCTCGTGGAGGCCAAGACCTTGCACCCACGAGCTCTGGTGATGTGACCCGGAAAATAAGACGGGTGCGAGTTGGATTGGGTTGGATGGGTAGAGATGGTGAGGATGACTGGTGAGCAAAAGGTCATTGGGAGAAGATGGAAGAAATCACATTGGTCCGTGGGTCCCAAAAAATCGGAGGAGAGCAGTGACTTAAAGGCTTAAAGACATCTTGATGCTTTTCGGGTTTGGCGGCAACTGTGGGCGACATGATTTGGGGACCGACCCCACAGCGGAGCGGCCGTTTTCGAAACACCTCACGAGAAAGGTTAGAAAGCAAGATGGAAATGGAGACCATGTGGATTGTCCCCTTGGATTCTCCTTGTATTCACCTTGAGCACATTCAGTTGTTTCTTCCCTGTCTTTCGCCAGCAACTCGTCTTGGCACATGGTCATGGAGAACTCGGTACTCCTGGTGATCCTGAGTGTTCACCCCTGACGGTTCCCACTTCCTGTCGTGGAAAAGAACGGCCC